CTCGAGCCTGCCACTCGCATAAAGTTCATCGGCGCCATGTTCGATTCTCTCTCCCAGTCAGTTTTCCTTCCGTAAGAGAGATTCAGGGCCCTTCGAACCGAAGCGCTCAAAGTGCGTCGAGCCCGAGTGGTCCCGGCGAAGCAGATACAGGTCCTCCTCGGGCATATGGCCTCCATGGTGATGGTGACACCATTGGCGAGACTCCGCTTCCGTCCCCTCCAGAGATGGTTTCTGGACCACTTCAACCCCATGCGGGACAGTGCTGCAAAGCGCTTGCTGATACCGAAGGCGGTAAAGGACTCCCTAAACTGGTGGATGAATCGCCAGCATGTCTGCAGGGGCGTTCCATTCCACCCAGAACCTCCGACCGTCACGATCACGACGGACGCCTCGATGTTCGCATGGGGATGCCATACAGGAGAACTCTCAGTCCACGACCTCTGGTCTCCACAGGAAAGACAGTGCCATATAAATTACTTGGAATTGCTGGCAATCTTCAAAGCCCTGAGGGCATTTGCCCTCCTGGTCACGGGGAAGTCTGTCCAGATCCTCACGGACAACATGGTGGCAATGTTCTATGTGAACAAGCAAGGAGGAACGGGCTCGAGAAAACTTCTCAAGCTGTCAATGGAACTTTGGGACTGGTGTGTAGCCAGGTCAGTGTCGATAACAGCTTTACACCTCCCGGGCGAGATCAACGTCGAGGCGGACGCACTCAGCAGAACCAGGGCAACCTCTCACGAATGGAGGTTGAACCCCGATGAACTGGCCAAGATCTTCAGGGATTGGGGCCTCCCAGCCGCAGACCTCTTCGCGTCACCGCAAAATGCTCAGCTCCCTCAGTTCGGTGCTCGGCTTGCTCCGAACACGGTACCAGGGTGTCTCGGAGACGCGTTCCTGTTGGACTGGTCGAGGCATCTGCTCTACCTCTTCCCTCCCTTCCCGCTCATCCCGAGGGTGATTGAGAGGATCCAGTCGGCGCAAACGAACTGCATCTTGATAGCGCCGGAGTGGCCACGACAACCGTGGTTCTCGGTCCTTCTCCAGTTATCCGAGGGACGGATGAGGCGCCTTCCACTTCGGCAGGATCTACTTTCCCGGGAAGATGATCAGCTTCTCCACCCCGACCTCGCTTCTCTGCATCTTTCGGCGTGGAGGATCCGGTCCTGAGGTCCCTGTGTCCAGGAGTTCTTCCGATCCTGGAGGCAGCTCACAAGCCAGCGACCAAAAAGTGCTACTCAGCGTGCCTCGCCCGCTTCCAGGCCTTCCTCTCCGAGAAGGGCCTAGACGACCATCGACCGTCGGTACCGTCAATTCTCTCGTTCTTGCTGCACCTTACTGAACGAGGCTTGTCGCTATCGTCACTCAAGTGTCACCTGGCTGCCATATCTTGGCAACTTCAGCGGACAGGTGAAGCTTCCTTATTTAAGGAGAGCTCCGTGAGGTCTTTCCTGCGAGGTTTCAACAACCTGCACCCCCCGGTCCGTTCTCCGACTCCGGGTTGGGACCTCGACCTCGTGCTGGCTCGGCTCGCGCAACCGCCTTTCGAGCCATTGGCGTCGATTGAACTTAGGCTCTTGTCATGGAAGGTGGCCTTCCTAGTCGCTATCACCTCAGCCCGTAGGCAGTCGGAACTTGCGGCATTACGGGTGGACGAACCGTATTTTGTTGTCCACGAGGACAGGGCAGTTCTCCGCACAGACGTGACTTTCCTCCCTAAAGTCATGTCCCCCTTCCATGTTAACGAAGACATTGTCCTTCCCTCGTTGTGTCAGTCTCCCTCTACCCCGAGGGAAAAAAAGACTTCATATGCTCGATGTGCGGAGAGCATTACTGTGTTATAGGGACAGGACTGCTCAGTCTCGGAGAGGACTCAGAGACTTTTTGTTGCATATGCCCTGGATAAGGTGGGCTTGCCGATCACGGCGCAACGTTTGTCTCACTGGATCACCTCGACCATCGAGCTTTGTTACCAGCTGGCTTGACAACAACCTCCCTCGGTTGTCCGGGCTCGGTCAACCAGGGCTATGGCGGCATCGACAGCCTTCCTCAAGGGGATTCCCCTGGACGCTATTTGCAAAGCGGCCATTTGGAAGAATCCTCAGACTTTTGTGTCACATTATAGACTGAATACCAGGTATACACCTGATATGGCCTTTGGGAGGGCGATTTTGGGATCGTGCCCGCCTTGAAACCTTGCCAAGTTTTCCTTGTTGTTTGTCGGTACCATGGACCTCCTCGGTACCGTACATTGTTGTGAATGTTATTACCATGTCTTTTACTTGAATATGCTGTTTACACGTGACTGTGAATGTGATTACACCTATACACTTGATGCCTTTACTGCCTGGGGCGCAGGCAACCTTGCACTATGGCCTAATGGGCTCATTACGGATGGTGCCTTGTGTCGCTATCGACACCTTTACCTTACAAATGTGTTTTTGCACTTGTTAAAAAACTGTTTTGTGTAACTACTTAATGTGCCCTCATTGCAATGAGTGTCCTCAACAATGACTGCTTTGTTGTTTCCAAGGGTCACAAGTTTATGTTAATTGTTTAAGAATGCCCTCATTTATTGAGTGATTGGTCACCCTCACGTGGCCGGGAGGATCACGTACTCCCATAAGCTTCACGCACTGTGCCCTTCTTCGGAAGTGATTACAATCTATTGTTGGTAACTGTTTGCACTTAATAAAATTGTTTGGCCCTTGACTTGAATAGTCGGTTTGCCTTCTTCCCGCCTCTAGGACCTGAGCTTGCTAGTCTCCACAAGTGTGCATTCGCAGAGACCACGAAGAAAAATGGTAGGTTACATACCTGTGACCATCTTTCTTCGAGTGGTGCTCTGCGAATTCACACTAACCCGCCCAGCCTCCCCTCTATGCAAACCTCCAATTTCTCGCTACCGTAGCGGCATAGGAATTGGATCGGTGTGCGCGGGGCGCCCTTTTATCCCCTGCCGGGGCTGGGCGGGGTTACCGCCAAAACTTGAAAAGTTTTAAAATGTAGAAGTTTCCGTTGGAGCCCGCGCAGGCGCAGTCTCTCCACAAGTGTGAATTCGCAGAGCACCACTCGAAGAAAGATGGTCACAGGTATGTAACCTACCATTGTTGATTCTAATTCATAGATTCCAATTCATAGTGACAGTAGGTGTTATGTTTAAAAACACACATAGAATGAAAAAAAAGAGTGATTCAGACTCAAATCAAGTTTTTGGAAAAGAAAACAAAGGAGGATAACACCTAAGATTTCATTCGTCTTTACCAACAAAATCCTAACATGGCCAGATATTAGATAGTTAAACAAAACCTGGTCAATAAAACAGGAAAACAAATATAATTCTGATCAAATTGCCATCTCAGTAAAGCTGCCTGCAGTTTCAGTGCACTGAAGTGCTGAAACAAACAAAAACTGATTCATCAACCTTCAATAGAAGAGCTGGAGCAAAGACAAGAAAAGAGGCTGACATGCTAAAGCATTTCTTAACGTGTTTGCTATAACATTTTTATAGCCTTGCCATTGTGATTCTTGACAATCCTCTTAATTCAACATGAAACAAAGGCTGCTCTCCATGAATCCTGCTGCCTAACATCATCTCTCACACAGGCTCAGCTTGTTAAGATTGTCTTGGAACACTTTTAATTCCCCTCCAGTGATACTGGTGAGATTTCTATTGATTTAATGATTCCATTGATTTCATGCTCCACTAAAATCAACTGAAATCTCCAAGAAATGAACTTAAAGCTACAATCCCATATTCCAGTAGTGGGATTTACTTCTGAGTAGCTATCCATTGGATGACACTTTGAATTCTAAAAATCAGGACAGTTTTAGAGGGCTAAATTGTCTTTTCTAGCAGTTTTATATGCAAAAGCTTGATATACTGGTACTTTGTACAAAAGAACAACTGTTATGTCTTTGTATTTGTTTGATATAGGCCCATGTGGATTTTGACGTGATGAAATCTTCAGATATATTCCCCTGCAATCTGCTGAAACATGTTACAATCAAGGCTCTTCTTGTTTCTTTAAAATCTATTGTTTGTTGGCAGAGGAAGATTTAGTCTTAACTAATTTTAGGTGATTTTCAATGACATTTCTATCTTGACACTACAAAAACAGATTTATTTGGATAGAGCAGAAATCCTAACAGCCGGTAAACTGGCTGGGATTTCTGGGAGTTGTAGGCCAAAACACCTTGGGATTCACAGGTTGAGAACCACTGGTATAGAGGATTATAGTTTATCATCACCACACTGCAACTGTGTCATATTCTGTTGTCTGTGAGTTCTGTGGTAGTAATATGAGGAATCCTATGAAATATTTCATCCAATCTGCTATGTTTTCCCCAGAGTTTCCTTGGATGCTTATTCATATTTTGAACCACTTTAAAATTGGGGTTCGGGCTACTCTGTTTCCAAAACTTGATATACATACTATTGGAAATATCACCATAAAGAAGAGCTTTTTTCCATTGGCAGTGTGGCAAACAAATTATATCACTGACTATCTATACATAGTGTAAAATCAGGTAATATTGGAAATCTAGATAACAACACAAACTAATCTAGATGTCTCCAATGGTGAAAGATGTCAGTTTGTCATAACACATGCTTTTCCTCAACTGCATGTATTGAATTTTATATATATTTGTTTTAGTGCATGGTCACTGGAAGCTAAGCATGGGTAGAATGTATCAGTTTGATTGCCCGAGTCAGTTCCATTGTGGAAGGGGTCTCTCTTGAATGAGTAATTTGCTCTGGAGATAGACTGAATATGAGAGCTTTCTCAACATGGCCTTCCTTACCATAATTTAGGCCAAATCTTGGGTCATCTTCAGATAGACATGACAGACAACATTAAATATTCCTTTCACATTTTGGAAATGTCAAAGTTAAACAGAAATATTGTACCTGAGGTCCAACAACACCCCCTGGGCCTGGTGGGCCAGTTTTTCCTTGGAAACCCTATAATAGGAAACAAAGAATGGTTACTAATGCCTCTGCATATTACAATGGCATTTATTTCTCTGTGGAAGAGATGGCAAGCAAGAAGTCCAGTGTCAGGGGAATTTGTCTTTTTGAAGAATAAAGTTTGCCATTTCTATTATTACTCTGCACACTTAAATGTAAAACACTGAAGTGTCTTTCCAATCATCTGAGCTCAACTGCTTTAGTTGTGAGGTTCAAAGGGGCAGTTAGTTTTCAGATCGCACTTTCTGAGAAACGCATTAGATGGCTTTGATTGCATAGATGATATTCTTCCAATTCAACTCTAATATATGCTGCAGGTATACACATAGATATATTCAAAAGCTCACAGACAAGTGTGTGTGTGTGTGTGTATATACATGCACAGACACAGTGGGACAAGCACATGATTAAAAGTATGCAAAGAATGCTGATTGTGAATTAAATAGGTTTTGGGAGGTGAAGGCTCAAGAAGCCCTCCTTTGTGAAATGGAGGAGTAACTTTGGAGGGGGGATTTCTGTTATGTCCCAGATAGGAATGAATGGGATTTTCTCTAAGAAATGTCAGTGATTTCACAAAAACCACTTCCAGCATTTCTTGAAAGTCCTTTTCACTATTGCAACAGCCTCCAGACTTGTCTTCAAACTTTGCTGTAGGGAAAAATCCAGTAGCACCTCCAAATTTTGAGTCATTTGATACAAACACTACTGGTCATGTCACTAAAAGGTATGTGTGCTAATAAAGCAGTATGGCAAAGCATTTCTTTAAAAGAAAGAAGCCAAGTACCAGGAATCGATGGATGGTTCTCTAAGGCATGTTCTTCTGAGAGAATGTATAATGTCTAGCTAATTATTTTCCAGTGTGGAACTGCAAATAAAATCCCCTATATTATCTACTATGGAGTGCTATGAACCAGCAGCTCAGTAGTAGATGTGTTATATTCTAGGGGTGTATCTATACTATAGAATTAATGCAGTTTGAAACCACTTTAACTGCAATGGCTAACAATATGGACTCCTGGGGTTTGTAGTTTGGTGAGTAACTTGCACATGTATATAGGTTCCTTATCATTCAAATTTGCCTTACTCTTCAGATTTTTTTAGCTCCAGTGTAAGAAACAATAAATATTTTTAAATCAAATTTTAATTATTCTGAATAAAACTGTAGTTTTAATATTCCAAACATGATAGGATTACTCCAAATGAGCAAATATATGGTAGCTTTATGTTACTTTTTTTTGTTGTTGTGTCAGGAGCAACTTGAGAAACTGCAAGTTGCTTCTGGTGTGAGAGAATTGGCCGTCTGCAAGGACATTGCCCAGGGGACGCCCGGATGATTTGATGTGTTATCATCCTTGTGGGAGACTTCTCTCATGTCCCTGAATGAGGAGCTGGAGATGATAACAAACTAATTTTCAGTAAAAATTTAAATTGCCCCTTCCCCCACTCCTCCCTATCAGATTTTCCACATGGGAATCTTGTCTCTCATGGCTTCAAATACATTTTTATCTCTTTTCAAACACATTGACCACTAAAAGCCCACAAAAGTCTGGAAAATTGCTCAAGAATGAAAGGTGAAATGGCCAATTTAATTCTGGAGGGTAGACTAAGACATGTACATTCATCTCCAGAGTTAGAGGTTTCCAATCCGTTTTTGGGACAGAAATGGGCATTTTGAATTGGAAAATCATTCTATCACAGCTAGAAAGTTGCAAAGTGAAATACAGGGATGTTTATTTTTGATTATTTTTTCCTTACATATGAAAATAGGAGGAAAATTTCAAGTTATCCCCTGGGTGAGATTTTGAGGGTGTGGATGTCTTTATAACAATTTTTTAAAAAATAACTTAAAAAACTAAGAATGTTTGTTCAGAAGCGAAGAAATCTGTGTGAACATATTGTAGAAAACATGTTGTCCAAGTGAAAAATGCTTGAAAAAGTACACAATACTCTGGCTTTTATTGCATCATTTCTTGCTGAGTTTGAGAATATTTGTGAATATTCTTACATTTCTCAAAGACCATGCAGTTTGAAAATGACTGGGGAGTTTGGGAAAGGCCTGAGCACTTGCCCCAAAGAGTTAGTTTCTCTGATTATTATTTCCTGATTGGGACTTGCAGAAATATATCCACAAACTTACAAGGGCAGAAGAGCTTTGGGAGAAAAATGGCAGATGAAGGGAAGATTAACACCTTCTGCTTAGCTGCTCATTTCTTCATTGGAAATCGCAGCCTCCTGTTTGACAGCTGCTCGGCTATGCCTGCTTCCAGACATCTAATTCTGTTCCAGAGCTAGCAAATGTAGACATGTGAGTAATCTGCATTACTTTTGGTAGACAGGACCGTTAGTGGAAGCAAAACTAAATGGGTAGCTCATGTAATTCCAAAGGTCACATTAGAGTACATGTAGTTAATAAAGTTTTTAAAAACTTTATTAACTTTATCTGAAAATAGAATCAAGTCTGTGTATGTGTTTAGTATGTGCATGCAGCAATGACAAAGCCAGTGAAGTCAGCTTAGTCAAAAGATTATAAAATATAAACTAAATCATCATCAATTTTTTGTTGTCATAATGCAATCAAGTACAAATGGCTGAAACTTATGCAAAGCTTTCCCTACATATTGTAAATTCATATTTAGTTTAATGTTATGAACAGGTACCAACAATTATGACCACAGCTATCTAATCATTGAATTGTACTCCAGAGCAAGATTTAGCATTGAATAGTTTCAAACAAAATTTTACCAAGGACTTACAGGTATCCAGTGTCTTTTTTAAAATTTTGGGAGGTCTTGAGGATGCACAAAGCTCCCCTTAGTTCATGAGGTACACATAACTGGCATACTGCTTTACTAACATCCCAATTCCACATTCCAAAATGAAAAAGAGAGGTTCCGTGAAGATAGCATCCAATAATTCTTTTCTGTATCAGAAACCAATCTATACCAAAGCCCACCACAAACACACACATAGCACCAATTCTTCCTGTGCAATAGAAAAGAATGTTATTTAGATCCTCTCCTTGTTACTTCATTAGCAAGTGAAATGGGATCAATCTGGCATCCAAGGTTCTGAATCTCAATAGGGACTCCCTAAGCCACTTCAGTGGTGGCAGGGAACCCCCACTGTCCAGGTACGATAAACACAGTTTAGTGTTGCTGGGCACAGAGCCTAAAGGGGACCACTCTCGCCCACATTGCAGTTCATGACAGTTACAACACCCACTTACCTGCTTCTTCAAGGTACTCTGGCTGACATGGTTGCTAAAGCTTTTGGGAGAGGAAGGAAGTAAATACCCCCATTCCTCCTGCCAGCCTCTTAATCAAAATGGCTGTTTGGCAGAGGCTAAGGATTCAGGTTATTCCACCGGGACATTATAACCATGGGGAAGCTGTGTTAAGTAGCTTTCCACAAGAAATTCGATCAGCCCCTGGGAGGTGTTTAACCATCATGGGTCTGATCAAAGGTCACACTCACCTAAGTGGTCAGTACTGATGTGCCCCAGGAATCAATGCTCAGGAAAACAAATCTTGGTTACCTGAATGGTAGTGCCTTTTTATAAAGAGGGTTATGAAACCTCATTGCACAAGTTATTCTCCCAGGAAATAACGGCTCTCAATAAATACACACAGCCACTGATTGCCCCAGCATAGTAGGGTCCCATACTGGGACAGATGTCATATACTGCTCTGTAGATTCTCTAATGTTCTGACTAAGTTGGAAGGCCTCCATAACAGCTGGTTGATGCAGTGTCTGTACAGCAGGGCTTTTTGATGCTAGTGTTTTATTGCATCTCAGTTTAAATGAATAGCAGTTCTCTGAAACAAGTCTCAGTGTAGCAGAAGGATTTCGTGAAAAACAATAGAAAGCACACACTTACAGTTTCACCCCGCTGCCCTGGGTGTCCTGGCAAGCCATCCTTTCCAGGTGGTCCCTGCAGTGGGAAACGGAACAATGAAATGCTAATTTAGAAAAAAAAAAGGTACTACCAAGTCTAACCATTACAGTGGCATCTCCAAGGCTTCCAGATACCTTTCAGGCATATTACTCTGATACTGACTTAGTGGCAATCCTTTATTAAGCTGATTGCTTGCTCTTGGAGAGATGTTCATGTTCCCTAACAGAAGCTAAGAATGGGAAATCTTTCTCCTCTGTCTTTGGATGGCAATTTGTTGTCACAGCTTGAACTGGAAGTCAGAGAGCCAAAGAGATTTTTAAAGAGGCAGCTGGAGTTTAGCTGGGAAGAAAGCAGCTGAGAGCTGAATTATATGTAAGGATCCCAGCTGCCACTTTCAAAACGTAATCCAAAGCAGGTTCACTTGTTTGTAAATTTTGATGCCCCCTTCTATCTTTGAGGAAAGAGGGCTCGCTACACATTAAGACCCAAATGAGCTTTGTTTCTCAGAGATGTTGCACCACAGTCTGAAATTTGATGGGGAAAAGAGAAGATGGGAAAATCTGTGATTGATAATTGACTTGCACAAAGCCCCATAAAAACTAAATCTCAGGGGAGGGAAAATTCCAAAAGTATCCGGCACCAACAGGATCACAGAATATTGCAATGTTTCAGCTGTCCAGACAATTTTCATTGTTTTTCTTTTTGCTGTAATAATAGTGGGGCAGGCACCTTGGAAATGGGGTTCCAGTGCAGCGTGGATTGGCTGGGCTATCAGAAATTTGCAACAGGTTATGGAAAGTCAATGCTTTGAACTTCTCCCTCCCCTGGCACTTTTTGCAGGGCATCACAACCCAGAGTTCTCTCCTTTTTCCCATCAACCTTCCAATAGTGGCGGAGTGAGAGCTTTCTAAGAAACAAAATAGTGGGGCTTGGATGTGTAACTAGCCCTTTCTCTCCCATTCCCATTCACTATATATCTGCAAAAAAAATTTAAAAAATAAACCTGAAAAAATCTCTCTGGTCCCAAGCATTTGGGAAAAGGAGATTCAACTTGAATCACTTATTTTTGCCATCTGTGGAAGAAGATTTAGAGCAGAGAAAATTGATGCGATGACTGCATGTGACCCAATTCATTCTAGCCATTTTTCTAGCTCCCAGTCCCATTTCCTTCAATCATCACATGTGTCTGTAAGCGTAATTACATGTTTTCAATGATGCACATTATTACAGTAGGACCTAAGAAGAATGCAACTAGTGAATTCTACCAGCCATCCGATCAACCAAGGATAATAAAAGCAAGAATGATGATAGATCAATATGACTTCAGGCAGGTAGTTTCCTTCTTTTTGTTGGTACAAACCCATGCTATAAGTGGCACTAAAAAAAGGGTTCTTGCTCCCCATGAGTTGCATTTAGGAGAAAACAACATTGCAACCCATTGATTTTAATAGGACTGATCAATTTCACGAAGGCAGATGGGTCTCTAGGAGTTTCGGCTACTTTGAACATTACTCTGAATGACCAAATGCTTCAGTTTCATTTACGAACATAATATATTAAACTCACTAACCCATCCATTGTCCATAGCACACTCATTCTGGTGATCATGTAACTTTCTTATTAACTTCAACATTTTTTTCTTGCCAAGATTGGGACAAGAGAGATGGAGAGAGACCTCTAGTGGCATCTGATCACTCCTACAAAAGAAGTGTTTCTTTCTGCAAATGTTGTTGTAGCTAGCACTAGTTTGGTCTGCATGGCAGGTAGTTTGCAATAACCTTGTATATCCTTATAAATGGCCTATTTTCAGAGCAGGGATGAGAAACATGTTGTATTCCACATAGGGGTCAAATGAAATTTCATTCAGCATAAACAATAGCGAAGAAACATCAGTCCACTGACATGTAGAGGATTGTAGTTTGCCTACTCTCTTTTAGAGCATGCAGGAGGAAAATAAGAAATGTCTGTGTGTACATGATGAATAACATATATTTCTTTGTATAGGCTACAGTACACAGAATGATGAAAGGGGATTTGACCTATGGGAGCAGCTATGAATTTAGCAATGGGAGTAGGTACAACAAATCAGCAGCAGTTACAGAGCACAACTACATTGAAAGCACAGCACTCTGTATTCTATGCAGCTTGTACAGTTTTGATTTTAATCTCTGCCATTTCTGTTGCTTGTTTTCTAGCCATTTCCAATTGTTGTGATCCAATTTCCCAGCAAACTCATTCTGATGTTTCGTTACATTACAGAACCACCCCAGTTTTAGCTACTTACTTCCTAACCGGTGAACTGCCCAGGGCTAATTTTGTGGTGTTTGAATTCATTTCTCAATTCACTATAAAAGACACAAAGCACGTACTGGGTTGGCCCAGGGCTGTCACTCCACAATTTTAGCTAGTTTCATACTCTAGATATATCAGTCCAATTTGCTGACTATTCAGCTCCCCTGAGCTGATTGTGGGAGAACTGAATTGATCAGACACATTAAAATGGAGCAACTAATCAACTTGGAGAGGGAAATTGCCCTACGTTTCTCAGGGATGATGCTATTTGTCCATTTTAATTCAGTATTTAGATTAGTTAGTCAGGGGAAAAAACACAAAATCTATAAAAAGTGACTTGCCAGCTTGACAGGGTTGGTGTTGCACCGAGTAAAAGGATATCTGAGGTAATTATAATTTCTCCATGGACACATACATTCTATGTCGGAATAAGGGGCAGCTAATAAAGGGAGGTGACACAAGGATTCTATGAGACTAAGGTATGAATCCCCATCAAACCAATTGGAAAGATAGCAGGCACCCTTGAGTAAGTCACAAACTCTCAGCCTCAAAGGATGGCAATGGCAGAACCCTGAATGAAAATTGCCATGAAAATCCCATTACAGGGTCACCATAAACTGGAGTTAACAAGCTGAACCACAGTGACAAAGACAGCAAGAAGCCATGGCAACCCTAATCAAAGAGGTGGTGAATCCACTCTCATTTTTAGGACAAATGTTGAAGCAGCTACTCAAGATACTAAAACTATGCTAAGGTTAGCACCTTCCTTTAAGGTTTGGATACAGATTTTCCCCTGACATTAAGTCCAGTCATGTCCGACTCTGGGGATTAGTGTTCATATCCATTTCTAAGCCAAAGAGCTGGCATTGTCTGTAGACACCTCCAAGGTCATGTGGTTGGCATGACTGCATAGAGCACTGTTACCTTCCTGCCGGAGCGGTACCAATTGATCTACTCACATTTGCATGTTTTCGAACTACTAGGTTGGCAGAAGCTGGGGATAACAGTGGGAGCTCACCCCGCTCCCCAGATTCAAACCTACGACCTTCTATCTGCAAGTTCAGCAGCTCAATGCTTTAACCCATTGCGCCACCCGGGGATCCAAGGTTTGGACTATCTATGGCAAATTCAGAGTACAGTTGATATGGAAGACATAAGCTGCCATGGACACCAATAGAGAGAGTTGCCCCTCTTTAGAAGATCACTCCACAGAAATGATGTCTTTGCACAGCAACTGTTATGAGACAAATGGTGGCTCCTACTTAGGTCCAACATGCTCATGTGGAGGTTGGTTAACTTCTCATCTAGCGATTATCTCACTCAATGGCCAGGAGCACTCTAGTTCAGGCTAGAAATATTGGGGAAGCAAATTTTAGTAAACCCAATGGGAGCTAATTCTGAAATGAAAAAGACAAAGCTATGTATTCACCTAGATGAGAATTTATACATATAGGGAACTTGGAGAAGAGAATTGATAGATAATCTAGTCTGCTTCTTTCTGCCAGTCCTCCCAAATATTTTAGGGGAGGAAAGGAAGGTGTATTAGGATCTACTGGTAGACTTTTGGAAAATATGCAGTACATTATCAAGGATCTTTCACTTTTTCTGAATTAGACCAATAAATCACAGAAAACCTAGGGAGAAAGCTGAAGTAGTCTGAGTTCTTCCAGGATGAGCATAAACTCAGAGGCATGGTGTTTCTTGAACAAGCATCGAGTAATTGTTTGTATGTTGGATTAGAACTTGAGGAATTGAGTTCAAATCCTCTCTCAGACGGAAGCTCACTGGATGATTTTGGGCAAGCTGTACTATGTAAGTCCAAGAAGAAGGAAATGGCAAACTATCTCTCAATAAATCTTTTTAGGAAAACCTTGTAATACAGTTACTTAAAGGCACACGACAAGTACTGTTCCTTTATAGTCAGTTGATATGCACCTATAAAGACTCTATTTCTACTTGGTTCCTTGTGGTTCTAGGATAACATGGAATTATAATAAAAAGAAAACCCCACAAGCACGAATCTTCTCACCCTGTTTACAAACCTCAGCATAAATCACTTCATAGTGAGAAACTTTAATTAGTTAGTGTCATTCATCTAATGGCATGCTATTTCTGTGCATTCGATATGTCATATTTGAAAAATGATGTTTATATTTACTTTGAAAAAAATACTTACAGGAGGTCCCTTTGGTCCAGGGAATCCAACAGGCCCCTGTGGTCCTTGTGGTCCCTAATAGGAAAGAAATGAGAAAAAGGAGTTTTTTTTCTTAGTATCACTACCACCCATAGTAATACTGGGAATAGTTTAAATTTTTCAATGGAAGCTCTGTGATGTAGAAAATGAAACAAATGTTCCTATGCCTATAGCATCAACATTGCTGCAGATAAGTAGAGATGTAATTCTTCCCTAAAGGTGGATCAATACTGTAGAATGAATTCAGTTTGACACCACTTTATCTGCCAGCACTCAATTTATATATGGAATAAGCATCTGCATAGAAAAGTTTTGTTTCCTTACACTCAAAAAGCCCCAATCACAGATTTTTCTGGCACAGAAAAATATTTCTGTGCAGAATAATTATTTTCCATGCAGAAAATGTTGTTCCCTGTGGAAAACAACAATGTGCAGATTTTTTCCCCCGGAGCAAATTCAAAACTGTGAAAATTACCCGGAAGTTCTTCCGGGTTTTCTTTGCAATCAAAAACCATTACTATTTTTTTTTACATTTTTGAATATTTTCAAATATTGTTTCCATCTCTACTGATAGGTAGAAGAAATATTTTGACAATAATGTTCCAGTGCACACATGTACTCATAGACAAAGCAAACAAACTTTCTTACCAATGACATAACACATATTTATCTTTACTATAGAATATTTAGACATTCCAGTTATATTTTGTTTCTTTAAAATAGAAAGAAGCGTCCTATATAATCTGTATAGTGAAACAATACAAGTGTCTAATGAAAATACACAAGTTCTCACTGATTTCTGTAACATGTGCTTTCAAGTAGAAGAAAAATAAGACCTCTGTGACTTCTAAATCTATATCTGCAATTTAAATTATTTGCGCCAGTGAGGAAATGGTCTCCCTGGGAATTTCTTAGGTTCTCCAGGCTATTCTATGATAAGATCCTCCCAGAACATTATAGAGTTGTATTGTAGGACCTAGCAAATTCTTGAGCTCATTAATTCAACTTTATGGTATGGAGACAAAAGTAAGCTATTTTAATGGCAGTTGATCATATCCACTCTTTCAGGTCACCACAGTTTGGCTCGGAATGCATCCCCTGCCGATACGGTGGTCTTATGATTGTAACCTCAGGCATTTTGACACTTCCGGATCTGGTTTGTTTTTATTGTGTTTATTCATAACACTTAGAGATGAAGGAGAATAAGGAACATGTATCCTCTCCCAGCATGTCCCACACAAGAGATTTAATTGCCACTCTTGAACCTGGAGTAATTCTTGCTGCTGTGGCAGAGAATGGCCTTCCTCGGGAGTTCTTTTAAATTCTCTCATGCAGATTGGATATGAGTGAAACATACAGAGAGAACAAATTGCACCTGTCTCTGGCAACTGAAGAAATGTATGAGGCATGTGCAAGAATTCTGCATGCAAGAGTAAACAAAAACAATTGGGCAAAATGCAAGCTGGGTTCCTGTTAAAAAGTGATTATCATTTATATACAGTTCCTGTTGAGCCAGGTGGCTGCTCAGCAGAGGTTTTATAGTGCGATCTACCATTCCTATACTCAACTGACAGCATTACAGCTCAAAACAAATTAAGGTGCTGAAAACTGCTTACAAAGCAAGAAAAAAATGCTTGCCTTGATTTAAAATCGCCTTTAGGGGAGGGGGAGTCTTATATTTTAACGGTTCATTGACTGCTCAAATTATATGAAAGTATTCACCTCCTATATTGAAATAAGGCTAGTAAATATCACTTATAATGATGATTTGTTGTTATTCGTATATTTCTGCTCTCTATTTTTGATCGTTCAAGCCTGACAGGTTTTAATCTTATTAAAGTAATAAAAAAGTAAACCATATCAATCATAAAGTAACTATATTTCACATATTACTCAGCCCTGAATTGGGCTTGCTTCAAAGAACACATGACCACTTGAGTACTCTTAAGGATCTTATGTATAGACTCAAAAAATAGCTAATGCGTTTGGGGGAGTAGGGATGAAAACATTTAAAAATATTCAATAAAATCTTAGAAAAACTGTTATCTCAAGTGTTGGGAAACCCTGACAAGGATGGGCATCTTTGAAGGCATTTTATTTTTTTGCACAGGAAATACCATTTCTACACAAAAAATCTATAGAAAAAGAAACAAGCTGTTCTATACAGAAAATAACATGATTTGAAAACAGCACAGTGTTTCATGACTTTCTCACAGCAAGGAGAAAAAGAGAGAAATGAGAACCAAAAATTATGAAGATCTGTATATATTATTATAATAACAACTTTGTTCTTATACCCTGCCACCATCTCCCTGAAGGGACTTGGGGCAGCTGGGTTTCTGGTCTTGTGTGGAACAGAATCCCAGAAGACAGCTGATAGTCATGTATTGAGAAGCTATCCAAGCCTGAAAACTGCAATTACCTGATTTTTCTTTATACTACTTTATATAAACTGCTTTATGAGCTTCATATGAAAATTTGTATAAACATGCTGATAACAAGCAGAAAAGGCATTGTTGGCTAGCAATGTTTCTGGAAAATACACATATATGATTGCAAAGACTGTTAAATTTGAGCGTTTTATTTTAGGTGTACACGTTTGATTAAATTATTTGTTTCTTCAAGAAAGACTGAGCATTTCCAACAAACTTCTCCTCAGGGCAGGGATGTCTTCAATTTTTTCTCAAAGTGAGTAGTAAGTTTCTCTTCCTCACTCACCTTTATCTAGCCCTCCACCACAGCCATGTAACAGCCAGCAATAGATAATAGGTGCAATGAAGCAAGTAGTTCAGCAAGAAGGACTATGCCATTGTCTGTCATGTCGGTGATGGATGAGGAGTCCCACTCAGGTGTCTCCTTGCCTTTTCTCAGTAGCACAGTCATGTAGTAGTCAGTAGAAGGGGAGGGAGGCATGCAAACGGGGAAGATGGCCCATACATCAAAACCAGCAACAAATATTTCTCCATCCTCTCTCATTTGCTTGGTCACTAGCAAATGGGTGAGGACAAGGAACATCTGTCATGCAAGAATCACCTTTAAACAGCTTTCATAGCTAGTGTCCAAAGGTGATGGGACACTTTGAGGGTTCCAAGATCACGGAAGATGACACTGTATTTTTTCTCCCAGTGTCAGTCCTCATCACTCATATGTCCCAGCCTTCTTGCTGGCCACCCCACGGCCATGTTAAAGGGACATAAAACAGGTCAGTCTGGGCCATGGGGCAAGTACAATCCTTCAGTCTATTTGAGAATATGGGGTAGTGGAAATGAGAAAGGGCTTTTAACAGAACTCTCCTTGTTTCCTCACATTCAAAAAGCCAGTTCTTCATCCTGCCTGCCCAGGTTTTAAATGTTATTTCTATGTTTAACGTACACATAAAACATCCAGTAGATCAGTAATCATCCTTGTCTGGTGTATCACCCATGCTTTTCTTTTATTAGAAGGATTTTGGTTGTAAACAGAGATCACAAATCATAGGTTCTACAGAAGAATACATAAAACTAATGCATCTGAACTACACTGAAAAGAGATCATAACCTTATTAACCAGATACTCTGTTTTCAATGGATTTCTCTAATGCATTTTCTATGTAAAATTAAAGACTTTCCAATCCAAAGTGTTAGTTTTTCTTTTATGAAATGATCTTTTAGCAGGACTGCAGTGTTTACCTTTGCATATCAATGCACAGCCTGTGCACATTTCATTATAGAGCTCTGGAGATGTTTGTGGAAAAGCTTATACTGCTTTGGTAGCACTCAAATAGGATGAGGTAAATGGAATGAACAACAGGGAAAATAATCTTCTGTGACTGGTTCATAGTCAATTTATGTAGAACAAAGGTTGGGCACTATATTCAGTTTTGAGGTCAGATTTCTCCCTTAGGATTTTTCTGGGGCTGCTTAGACCATCCAAAATGAAGGATGGGGAATTGGAAGTGCCTAGAAGTTGATAGTCTTTCAGATTATTATTATTTAGCCAGAAGAAAAACTGCAATTTGGGAAGTCTCTTTCTGGGAGAGAAAAAAAACAGAACTAACTAATGGACTCCTAAATATGAAAATGACTCTAAAGTCAAAAAGATGAACCAATACAGTATGGATGGGATGGATGGGATGAATTTGGCAGCCCTTTGTGACTCAGTTTTAGGCTATCTGGCAGACTATACAAAGCTACCTAGGTCTTGAGATATTCAGGAGGGGCTCTTCTTTACTTCCATCACCATCACAAGCATAGTCAGAAAATATAAGAGCTTGCCTTCTTAGAGGCTGCCCCTAGAATCTGGAAGTTACAGGAAGGTTAGAATGGCCCCCACAACAGATGTCCTTCTGTTAATAGACAAAGGCCTTTTTATTCCAACAGGCTTTTTAAAAATAAAACAAAAGTTTTTTAAAAGAATAGGCTGAGGAAGCAGAGTTATTTTAGATTGAACTGGTTGAATTGTTTTTAATCTTTTAATGATATTTCACTTTTATCGTTTTGAGTCCTAGTTTAGGCAATAATGCAACTCCATTTTAATGTTAATCTTGTGTATGTTTTAGCTGTGTTGTTTTTTTTAAAAAAAATTAAGTCATGTTGACTCCCAATTTTGAGGGAATTGTGAGATATAAATACATCATCATCTCCACACCCTCTAAAGTGGTAACTTCTCCAAGTTTTGTGCAGCGGCAGTTAGGCTCTTGGAATGAAGGTGTGGCTCTAAAAAGCAAAATCTACATGCTCTTGATAGTTATATAGGTAGATCCTATTTAGATATCTATTGCTAAGTGGATGTAAATTCCATTGGCCATGCTACATGGGGATTCTAGGAACAATAGTCCAAAGGACTAACTTCTCCAAGATCTACAAAGCTTTTTTAGATGGCTCCCAGCAGGAGCTGACTTTGGACAGCTTCTTACTAATGGGGGAGCCAAGATGTAAGAAACAGATGGCAAAAATACATGTGTGTCAGTTTAAACAAGAACTAGATGCATGGCTGAGAGTGCTGCTCACTGTTTTTCATTTATTCTGACTCAATCAATGAAGTTGAGTCTGGAACAA